TTTTTTTTTTTTTTTTTTTTTTTTTTGAAGAAAGCACCCCCAGTGCTAGTGGTGCTGATAAAAGCAGACACCACTAGCACTTGGAGGGAGTTCGTTGAAACAAAGATTGTGGGTGACCTTAAGACACTCGCGTGTGGCATCATAGGGGACCCACGCGACAGCCCAGGCCCGTTGCGGGGTTCCCTCAACTGGGTAAAGGTTACCATGTAGGATTTCAAGGTGGCCCGCACTTAGGGCTCCAAGGATTTCATCGTTGTTCCACCTATCCTGGAGCCTATTTTCGAAACGAAAAGGTGAAAACAAATCCTCTGGGTTTCTCAGGCAAATAGTCCTCGGGTCCGAGGGACCTCGCAAGGTCCTAGGATCCGCAAATTGTGAGGTGGTGGCCCTGAGCTTCGAAGGCAATGTGCAGCGGGTAGGTGGTCCATCCGTGGTCGGTGGGCGGAACACGGACATCCTGGGCCGTCCTTCTTGAAGAGGTCCTCCAACGGCCTCCAGGGTCGACCATTGGCGGCGATTCGCGGTATGGCGCATCAACATCTTCAGTCGCCTTGGCGGGAAGGATTGCCGTTTGTGCTGGCCTCCCAACGGTCGGAATTTCGGATTATTTAGCCTTGCTCACGCCGAGGTGCTCCTTGCACGAATGTGTTGTCCGTGTCCTCTGCCAGATTGCCATGTGTCGGCATTTGTGGCAGATGCGACGACGCAAGTGTGAATGCTGTCTTGCCCTCGTTGTCGTTCATGGCTGACGTTTACTGCAGGCTGCCGCTGCCGCGGCTCATCGCGGTGCTGCTCCTGGTCGTTTTTTTCTTCCACATTTGTTTCCTCGGGCGCCTTCATGGACGGAAACCGGGTAGGCGAGCGTCGCCGAAGGCGAAGAAGATGGACAACCATCTGACGAACAGCACACCCTCATCAAGGCTGGGGGGGTCTTCACCCCAACGATGCCCCGCCATGCAAGTTGGCAGAAGGCCATACGACCCGACGTTGTAAAACCACCTGCCATCACACGAGATCCCATTGCCTCCAAGCGACGACGAGGGCAGGGAGCATCAATCTTCAACAGTTCCTCTGGGTAGTGGTTCCACGCAGGATGGGATGGGGAGCCAGTTCTTTACACGACCGACGACACCGACGTACACAGAGCTCCTCAAAGGACGAACCCCGGTTGGCTACGACGCTGGGGGCGTGGATCTCAACTTTGGTCTCAGGTTCAGCAGAGACGCGCCCATCACACACACTATGGTCGTCAAACCGGCTGCAAGCAACAACCACACTGCAAGCAACAACCACACGAAGTCGACGTTCAGGGCACTATGGGGTTTCGAGATCTTTCGACGCTGTTTACGGGAGGTGTTGGACGACTGCGATTTCATTTCATCTTCGAGGGGTGTTGTAAGGATCACGACGACCGTGGACGCAAGGAGGAGGACAACAGGCGTGGGGGCCTCTGGACCGGTGACATGTGACGAACTTTCTTCTGTAATCGCGCGACTTTTTGCGCGAGGCCGATGTGGGAAAACGGGAAGGCTTTGATGGGCGACGGGCGTAAGCGGGGTTCGGTTGGACGAATTGCATGAATATCCTCACTTCTTTTCGTTTTTGTTTGAACTCGTTGGGCCAGCGCCGGGAAAGCCCCGCGCCGACAATTGGATGACTGCGCTATGACGGGCGCAAGAAATAACTGTACCATAGCTTCTCTCTTGTTCTGCTGTGAGCATTAGGAATTTTTGCACAATTGGCGTGCGGAAATTTTCGTTTTTAAAATTTTAACTCATGTCGAGCCCCCGCGGGCTCTCGGAATTGTTTTTCTCCAGAATTTCCTTTCTGCAATTAGGACTTAGACTAGGAATTTAGGTACTCTGAATTTTTGTTACGCAGCGTTCGCACGCATCTTGTGGCGCAAGGAACTGGGTTCGAACTGGATCGCGCCTTTAATCTTGTGCAACCGTCGTTTTTGGCGGGCACGATCGTAACTGTAATCCTTCTGCTTTCTTGATTCTCCTATGTTGCCCGCCTTCTTCCTTCTTCTTTCTCGTCTCGCATGCTCTGTTCTAATTGGTCGAAGCGCCCAAATGACCGGGTCGATGCGTGGAGAGTGGCTACGACCCCCAAGCCGCGGCCTGACAATGCAGACGTAGGCACTTCCTGTCTTCTTTTCCTGTCCATCTGGGCTTAATTCCGAACCTTTTGCACAGGCATGCATGCTATAAATTTCGCAAGTGCGATTAGATTGCTTTCGAAGAATTTTGAGGTTAGCGCGATCAGTGAAGGTCGGCTAATGAGCAAGTTGGAAGGTGAGTGAGTGTGAGAGTTAGGCGATCTGACGAGCTGGTGTCGGGTATGGGGGGTTGATGTGCGAGGCCGCGACAGACTTTGGCGCACGGGCGAACCTGGCTTGCATACTTGAACTAAGCGGGGTGACAACTCTGTGTGGATACACGATGATGGACTACCGATATCGTGGGTATTGATGCGCGGCGACGGACTGCCGGCAGCAGGAGAAAGAATAGGAAACAGAGCAGTGGTATGGGTGTGGGATAAGGTTTCCTTTTGTTGTTCTTTTCATTTTTCTTTTGTCCATCTGTATAATTTTGAGTCTGATGTGGCCGATCTCTTTATTGCGGCCTTTTTCTTTCGAACTTCTCTTGTATATTGTCTCAAATCTCCCTTGTTGTTTTGCTCGAGATGTGTGGATATAATGAATGTAGGATCTCTTTTTGTTAGCGGTCTTTTCGATCTGTTTTTACGATGCGTATTGTCTCTAACAAGTGTTCGCCTGCATGAGATGTGCGATTAGGCTTGATCGGGAATGCTCACTTTGGATGTCTGAAGTCTAAATGTCGACCTTTGCGTAACGTATATGGCATGTAGTGATTGGTAGGATAATTGCATCTACAGTTGAATGCGTGCAGCACACGGAACCAATCGGTTGTTCCTTATGTACATGAGTGTGTACGATCACGATCTCGAGGAAACCGAGTTGCCCCGTACGCACTCGCCTGCGTAAGTCAGCCTTAACCTTGCGTAAAGATGTGGGGGATGCGGCTTGCTGAACCGACATGGCTGCGCGATCTCCTTCCTATGCGTCCGACTACGAAACTCTGAGGGACCCGGAATATCGCGAGTATTCGGAAGGCGAACAACTCAGACGGCGGGGAAATTTAAGAAATTCAGAATTCCCTTGCCTAATAGAAAACGATCGATTATGCGCAAAAGATTTTGATTGTGCCATAACCAACGACCCCAAGTGTACCGAATACCCGAAAACTTATAACACGCAATATTTTATATCTTCTGGCTTTGTCGTTATTACTACCAACTTCCCTCCCTTCTATATCCTTCTCCAGTATCACC